TAAGGGCCATATTGATTATTGACTAAAAAAATCGCACAACATGAGACATGAGCTGCGATTGTTGATGAGTTTGCAGTTTCAATCTGTTTGTATTCAGTGTCTGATTTACTGAGATTGCTCATTACACAGTCAGGTCCTGGACCCTGCTGCCAGTGTAGAACAGCTTAGATGTGCAGTTCAGTGGTGGTATGAGTTCACCAAGCTCAGAAAAGTGATAACATGGTGATTCTAAAATATTTACTCCATTACTGTCACATCACACATTAAATAATATATATATGTGAAGGTTTGAGGTTTAAAGTATATATATACACACCGATCATAACTGCTCTGCACTGTGTGTTCTGACCCCTTTCTATCAGAACCAGCATTAACTGTTTCAGCAGTTTGAGCTACAGTAGCTCGTCTGTTGGATCGGACCACACGGGCCAGCCTTCACTCCCCACGTGCATCAATGAGCCTTGGCCGCCCATGACCCTGTGTCTGGTTCTTTTCATTGTTATTCACGTCACCTGTCAGTGCTCACAATGTTACGGATGATCGTTGTACACTATTTTAGTTTATCTATATTTATCTTTCCATCTTAATTTTATTTTTAAGCTGTCTTGTATTTAAATAAACTGTACAGCACCTCAAATATACCATTGTCTATGAAATGTGCTTTATGAATAAACTGCTTATATTTTATTAAAGTGGAAATATTTTCAAACTAGGTCCAAATTTAATATTAAACTCAACACACTTTTTTACATTTTCTGTGATTTATTTAGACAGTAAGACCTTCAGTGTGACCTTTTCCTGTCTGAGTAGAGCTCAGGTTTTGTGTTAATACCGGTTGTTGAAACACAGTAAATATTATCAGCTGTACTGCCTCCCAGAGACAGACAGCAGGAACTAGAAACACTGAAAAGCTGTTTAAGGATACGTACCAAAGTGTGTAACAGTTATATTAGTTGTAAAAGTACAATGTTATACCTTTATAAGCAATAACAACAAACTGTCAGATGAAATCATACGCTGTACTCTGTACTTTGGACCAACCCAAAGGACAGCTAAGCTAGGCTAGTTAGCTTTCAGCAGGACTAGTTTCTGTGGTGTGTTTTCATTGTTTGGTTGGATTTAGCTCCTTCCTTCTATCTGTATGTGCTATAACAGACTGTAACAAGCTCTGTAGGGCAGTGGACTCACCAGAGGTTGGCAGAGATTCTGCTGTTTAGTTGAGAAAAACCTGATGGATTCAGTTGAATTTGTCTTCAGAGACAAACAGAGAGACTTGTCTCCACTGCAGCTCTGCTGTCTTCAGACAAACTTTCACTTTCATTTCCAGGAAATGTGTCACTGAAGCTCTTTCAGTGTTGCTCCTCCTCTCAGTGCAGATCTGTGAGTGAGCTGTTATTGACTGATTGGGAAATATTGTGGGAGATAACTGTTTTAGGAGGGTTAGTAAGTGTGTATGGTCCTGAGTCAGGGGTTCTGTTTTATGGTAGGAAATGACCGCTCACCTGTTGTTTACAACAGTAAGAAATTATGAAAATAGATAGCGATTAATTTACTAGTAATCAATGAAGTGATTAATAGACTAATTGTTGCAGCTCTATAGTAAAAGTGTGTGTGCACTGCAGGCTTCAGGTATTCTCATTACAGTCTAAGCAGCATTCTGGGCACTAGAGCTGCAGTGATTAGTCAGTTAACCAATTAGTGGCTAGAAAGAAATTTAATTGCCAACTATTTTGATAAATAATAAATTCATTGTTTTAATGATTTATCAAACAAAAATGTAAGCATTTTCTGCTTCCGTCTTAAATGTAGTGATTTGCTTTTAAGACAGTAGTCTTTGGGTTTTGACCGTTACTTGGAAAAAGGAAGCAGACATAATTTTGTGCTGTGGACATTTTATAGACTAAATGATTACTTGTGAAAATAATCAGAACATTAATCAATAACTGAAATTAAGGATGCAAGATAATACAAATACCAGGGCCGATGAATTATTGGTCGATAATGGGAAATTTATATTATCATGAATCATCACAATAATGAAGTTATAGACGATAGATTTGCTCCACAATACTACTACTACTTATTATTATTATTATTATTATTATTATTATAGTAGTAGTAGTAGTAGTACTACTAATAATAATATTGTATTATAATATATAAATAATAATGATAATAATAATCCCAAAAAAAAAGAAAATGACAGAAACATCACTGCAGTAGAATGAAGTTAAATGTCCAGTAAGGTTTATAATAAACTGCAAAAAGAATGTGTATGTAAAAGTAATGTACCTAGTTAGCAAAAATTTACTGTAGATGTACAGTCAAATATTTAACACTGTACATGGTTTGTTAATGACAAATTCAGAGAGGAGGACATGCACTTCATTCTGTCCCATCTGAAAGGCCACGTCCACTTGTTGCTGCCTTCACAGCCTAAACCGGACCCTGCTGCACAGCAACACTGTCACTTTCTGGACAAACAGGACCTCCATGAACCAAACACACACTCAAAAAATCTCTCAACTGAAGAGTCCCAGGATGAAAAACATCAATACTGAAGAAGGGTTTAATACAGAGAGACATACAGGATGACAAGATAAACTGATGAATTAGAGCTCAGAGGTGTTTCAGTTGTACACTGAATTCATCTTCCCATCTCTAAACCCCCGATTTAAAAGTGTTTTATTATTCGGCAGTCAGACTCTAATATACAGCATACTGTCAATGTTCAGACTACAACAGCACCCTCCTCCCATACACTGCTCATAGGCTGACACCTGCTGGTGACTTTATGGAACTGCAGCTGACAGTTGGAGTGAAAATAAAGGCAGAAAATAGGAAGAAAGATTAGCATGGCCCCTGCCAAGGATGACACGCAAATTTGTGAAGCGTTGCTCATTCATTTATTTTTTTGTTTTGGTTATGTTGTATTTGTCCTCTGGCTAAATTATTTATAACTTTAATAACTGAGATCGACACCACTGTCACTGTTCGGTTGTTTATTGAGAAAATTCTGACCAAATCAACTTTTTTATGGAAAATAAACTTCCCTGAACAACAAATTTGGTCAGACTCTAATAAATTCCTCATTCCACATAAAATGAAAGAGGTTGAAGATATTACATAGATACCACCCTTGTAATAAAATATGAAATACATTAAAAATACATATTTCTCCATTCTGTCCTTCTGGATACAAAATTAATGAAAATAAATCAGAAGCCATGATGATCTTTGGCAAAGGAAGAGACCAAGGGTAAGATTAAAATCCCTTCATTTACCCAAAGACAAGGAAGTTCGAGGTCTGCCAAACCTTAAAAATGATTTCTGGGCTGCACAAATAAATGCAATAACACATATCTAATATATATAAAAAGGTTAAAAACTGGCCCTTCACAAAACACGGACTACATTAAGGAAAAATAGGAAATAGAATTGAATGTTATCGTTGAAGATTCTACATGGATGGACATATGGACAAGCTTACATAAGGGAATTAGTAACCAACTGTGGAAAGAATTTGACTGGAAGGTTAAGATCAGATTTTTTAATACTCCCTTTATCATCTCTTCATACGTGAAAAACCCCAATGTGACATTATGTTGCCGAAAATGTGGAAATATTGGAGACACCACAGACATTTTTTGGGATTGTCCAGCAACACAAGGATTTTGGGACAATGTTCAAAAGGAAATTGATATTATTTTGGAGGTAGATGTCACTCCAGAACCAATGTTGTTTTTGTTGGGAGCCATACCCAAAGACCTATATGCAGATCAGCATAGATATATACTGAGGATTCTTTTATTAGTGGCAAAGAAAATGATTACAGTGAACTGGAGGGATGTAAAACCGCCAACAATAGGTCAATGGGTCCAGAGACTGAAAAATGTAGTCTGCAGCTGACTATGGACACTTTTGTGCAAAGATGGACTTGTATTTCAAGGTACCTGGGGGTTTGATGGATGGGATGATGTGATGGAGTACTGTTGGGAAAGGATGCCTATCTAAATTCCTCTTTGGAAAATCTTGCTTAGCCATTATCTACAGATATTTGCACCTCTGCCTGTTGTTGTTATTGTTATTGTTACTATGATTAATATTATAACTATTATATTTTCATTTCATTCGTTTATTCTTATTGTAACTTATACTGCCTGTCATTCATTTATCACATTTATACATTTGCAGGAAATGTTATGTAAAAGGATTAAAATGTTTAAATAAAAAGTTTAAATAAAATAAAACAATTTGCTCTAACAAACAATATTGTCACAGACATGAAAATAGTGTTAAACTGTTTCAGCTCAGCTAATATTTGAGGAAGGAATAAAACACATTAAACAGTAAGCCTTAAACTTACTTTCTCAGAGTTTTCTGTAGAAACACAGTACCTGTTTCACAACTGAATAAACAATAATTTGGACAAATACTCTCAACATTAGATATAATTCACCATCTCTTAACAAAATACTGCTCAGCAAATCACTTAATAATCTGTCAACATGAGGAGTAAGTGATTAAAAACTCCACACTAGAGGAAATTTTTTTTTATTTTAACATGGTGAATATTACTATGAAATTTACACTTTAAGCATCAAAACGTTTCCCTTTAAGCATTTAACAGGAACCACAGAAAATACTAGAATTGTCTGTACATGGGATTAATTTAGTTGCCAACACACGACCAGCAAACAAAGTGAGAAGCTGAGAAGGAAACCCGTTTCACTTTCAGCTGGCAACTGCTCATCCTCAGTACTCGTTATGACTTCTTACTGCTTCTCAACTCTTATGAAGCTCAACGTTATTACACGGAGCGTCTACTTCAAGTTCCACATTGAGGCTTGGAGGTCCTGTCTCTCTCTCTCTCTCTCTCTCTCTCTCTGTGTCACCTACACCTCTTCCTGCTCGCCAAAAGCACCCAAGTTGGTGAAACAAACCTTTACTAGTTTTTAATAACAGAAATAAAAATATTCACTTAAAACCTTAATCAGTAGTTTGATTGTTTATAACTTTATTCATTTCTATTCAACCCATTTTGTCCAGCTGGGTTACACAAATATTGTCTAATTACTTTTCATCTTTATTGTATGAATTTAAATTTGACGAACTGTAAGGTAATCAATCATTATAACCACAACATTTCAACAATGTAGAATGAACAGACACAATATAAGAGACATGAAACATTTGCAAAGAGACAATGATGTCAAAATATAAATTAAAATCAATTAACATTATCTGACACTACCAACAGTTTCAGATTCTCAGATTTGCAGCAGTCTTGATGTTGGGAAGGTGTGCAATGATGCAAAATAATAATAATAATAATTGATAATTCCCCTTAAAGTAAGTAAGTGCATGAAACTAAGGCAACAAGCCTGTTTTTAAAATGTAAGGGGTAGAGAGCACAGATATTTGTGTAAAAATGTGGTCAGAAAAATAAATTCAAGTTAAGTACAGATACCTGAAAAACCACTTAATTATTCCTTAATATTTTCTTACTTACTTTACTTACTACTTTTCTACCTATGGCACATTGCCCCTTACTCCCACTATCGCGTCAAATGGTGACAAATAAATATATTAGTAAATAAATTAGGAACAAAAAAGAAAATAGAAGAAAACACATATGGGTGGGGACAGGCAGAATTTAAATCAGTAATGCATATTAAGGCAGATTTGGCACAGATCAGATTAAATTAAAGCAGCAGAGATCATGAATTAAACACGTAAGTCTCATCAAGAGATGTCTAAAAAGGTTTCCAAACCTTCAGGACGTAATTTTGTGAATCTGTTTCATCAAATTAATAGAAAACATTTCATCTCCTAAAACATTGGGACGAGGGAGACTTTCAGTTTATTAATATTAATCTTTAGCTGCAACCACTTTATTAAAGACATGAAACATTTACACAGAGACAATGAAGTAAAAATCAACATTAAAATAAATTAATATTATCTGACACTACCAACGGTCTCAGATGTGATGGTTATTGGAGCTCATCAGCTCAAATCAGGATTTTAATCATATGATTTGGTAGTGATTAGAAACATCATCAGCTGTTTTTACAGCTTTGATATCAACCAAAAACAAAATAAATTAATCAGACAGAGAACAGAGAACAGCAATTTACTTTTGTCTCATTTATAAAAAGGCTCTTCATTAATTTGTGCCAGTCTATAGTCTAAAGTATTCTTATATAAACAATGATCAGACAATAAAAAGGTTGAATTTGTCACCCAGACATTTAAAGAATGTGTAAATGTTTCTTATTCCTGAGTACATTGTTTTCTGAGGATTTTATTGTTTTGAAGGCAGATAATGCAGTTATTAGAATAAATTAGGCTGCAATATGATGTTAATGAGCGCAGTAAAATGGGTGTATTGTTGTAGTAAGTAGCAATGTGAAACATCAAAGAAAAACATTTACATAATAAAAGGAAAACAATGTACATTAAATGATGTGAATCTTTCTGTAGAAAATCAATTGGTTGTTCTACTCAGTGTGATTGACAGGAGAGATGATCAGAGGGGCAGAGTTTTTACCACCATAATTAAGACTGGGACCAAAGCATGGGTAGAGTTTCTCAGTGAAGGAGCAGCCAGTAAAGGAGTAGATAAGAGCTGCAGCATCAACGTCATAAAAGGAGACCAGACCCTCCTCATAATCCACAAACACCCCCACCTTCTCAGGCTCAGACTTCAGAGAGAGACGGACTGCAGGGTCAGCAAGAGCTTCATACTCATTTTCATTCCGTAACCATATCATCCAGTAACCATCCTGAGTACTCACTGTGATTTGTCCCTTCCTGTTGATCGACTCTCTGGCCACTCCTAAAGTCCAGTCACTCTTCCCTTTAACCTGAACCTCGTAATAAAATCTTCCTGAAGAGAAACTCTGCTTTGCTAAGACACAGAGACAAGTATCAAATCTCTCTGGATTGTCTGGGAGATTCTTCTTTACATCACCATGTTTAACTTGTTTTCCATCATCAGACAGGATGAGTCTGGGATGTGCTGTATCAGGATCGAGTGTCACATCCACTGCATACTGCTGGACCCTCTTCAGCTCGACCTCAAACAGCTTCTTCATCTGTTTACTGAGCGTCTCCTCCAGCTGATTCACAGCTCTCACCACAGTCCCCTCATATGAAGGTGGACGGACGCTGACTTCTGTCCAGTCCTTGGTGGGTGGAGCAGCGTTCAGGGACAGGAAGCTTTGGAGGAGGTGGAGGTGGTCTTCAGACTGTGAGAGCTGGTCCACCTCAGAGCTTCTCTTCTTCAGCTCAGAGATTTCCTGTTCCAGCTCTTTGATGAAGTCTTCAGCCTGTTTCTCTGTCTTTCTCTGCTTCTCTTTGATCGTGTGGATGAGCTCGGCCTGGCTTCTCTCAACAGACTCCTTCAGAGCGGTGAAGACCTGAACACCACCTGCTATCTCTCTGTCTGCACCTTCCTTACTGAGCTCCACTGAGCGTTTGATCTCCTGAATCTTCAGTCGTCTCTTCTGGATCATCTGCTGAATTTCAGCCTCTGTCTTCCCCAGCTCGGCCTTCTTTCCTTCATATTCTTCTTTCAGAGGAACAACATCATGTGTCTTGTGGTCTGAATAGGTGCAGAGCACGCAGACACACATCTGGTCGGTCTTACAGAACAGCTCCAGCAGTTTATCGTGCTTCGTACACATCCTGTCTTCCAGGTTCTCCACAGGGTCGATCAGCTGATGTCTTTTCAGGCCTGACATTGTCAGATGAGGCTCCAGGTGAGTCTCACAGTAGGAGACCAGACACACCAGGCAGGACTTCAGGGCCTTCAGTTTGGTTCCAGTGCAGACGTCACAGGGAACTTCTCCTGGTTTGGAAACTTGTTGCTCTGAGCTGCTGCTGCTGGCTTTCTGTTGAGCTGACTGTCTGAACTGAGCAGCCATCTCAGAGATGAAAGTATTGACCTTCAGCTGAGGTCTTGTGTTGAAAACCTCTTTACAGTTGGGACACTGACACTGGACATTAATATTCCAGTGTTCAGTGATGCAGGTTTTACAGAAGTTGTGTCCACATGGTATGGTGACTGGATCAGTGAACACATCCAGACAGATGGAGCACAGAAACTGATCTTCAGTCAGCAGACAGCTGGCAGCAGACATATCTACACTGTGAGGATAAAAAGAAAAGAAAACTGTAATTACATTTCTTTTGATTCTAATAAAATCAAACTATGATTAATGGAATAAAAGGAGAGTCATCCTGAGTTCTGTTGTCATATGCAACCCAGCCAGAGCAAAATATTAAATATGAGCTGGGTTTTTGATTAATTTGTGTTCACAGTCTGCATGTAAGCCATTCCACCAAATCTGTGCCAATTCATTCTTTATAGTTTTTCAGCAATCTAATAACACATATTTACACATGATTTTGCATTTTTCAGGAACAGGAAGAATATTTTTTTGCATCTTTTTAGTAAATTCTTTGAGAGAAGTTACTTTTCCTTTCGTCCCATGACCTTCAATAGACTAAACTGACGTTACTTCTTTTTTATCATGTGACCTATGAAATGTCCCAAGTTTTTAAAGAGAGGTCAGGATAACAGGACTGAGTGAAAACCTTCATGGGGACGACTAAAAGGTCCATTTTAACTAAAAGGATTATTTTGTCTAAATTGGAAATAGAGTCACACAATAATACAAAAATGATTTCATCATTAATTTTAATTATTCAATTTCATGTTGAGGTGTAGAGTTAGAGAGTGGGAGAGTAAAATCCTATTTGTTCAGTGTTTTGGGGTTTCAGTACAATTTTACACAATGTATCTTCAAACTGCAGTTAGAACAAATTGAGTTCACCAAGCTCAGAAAATAAGTGATAACATGGTGATCTTCAATCCAAAAACATTTACTTTGGCTGCCATGGATACAATTATTATCCTGAGAGTATTACTCAAACAAATACAGAAAAAGACAAATCAAATACACACAACATATACAGAGGACACCCCAAAAGGTGGAGGAGAAGGGAGAGAGAAGAGTAGCAAGTGGAGGATGTTAATAAACTAAACTCACACTTAAAGGACCAGTTTGTAGGATTTAGTGGCATCTAGCAGTGAAGCTACAGATTGTAACTAAGTGAACACACCTAGCAACTGTATTTGATGACCTGGGAGTGACGAAGGGTTACAGTGGCCACGCAACTGTGTGAAAGGACCTATCTAAAGCCAGTGTTTAATGTTACACACTGGACCTTTAAACTCACCTTCTGAGCAATTTCAGCCTGCTGCCAGTTACTTATAAGACATTTTGCTATTACCTCCTGGCTAGTTATTCAAAAAGCAGTGAAAAATAAAGAAAGAAATAAAATAAAACAGTGACAACGATGTAAGCCTGTGATTCCTCCATTACTGTCACTTCACACATTAAGTAACTAGAATCCATTACATTTAAAAAATAAATCACCAGGTTACTGTTACATAGAGTAAAAATAGTAATTGTTTAGCAGGATTACAATTTTAAAATACATCAGTTTTACTTTCAAATACTCTGAGCAGGAGACACAACTGATCTCAGTTCTGATTGATATTTCTTTTCTTTTACTTTTATTTACATATTTAATGTTGAGGTAATCCAAAACTAATGGGAGGTAATAAAGTTGTCTTACTTTAATATGGTGAAACTTGGATTAGGTTAGTGACTACATTTTATAACAGGTAATTAGTAATTGTATCTGATTACCAAAGTGTGTAACAGTTATATAAGTTGTAAAAGTACAATGTTATACCTTTGTAAGCAATACAACAAACTCTCAGATGAAATCAGACGCTGTACTCTGTCCTTTACACAACCCAAAGGGAAGCTAAGCTAGGCTAGTTAGCTTTCAGCAGGACTAGTTTCTGTGGTGTGTTTTCATTGTTTGGTTGGATTTAGCTCCTTCCTTCTATCTGTATGTGCTATAACAGACTGTAACAAGCTCTGTAGGGCAGTGGACTCACCAGAGGTTGGCAGAGATTCTGCTGTTTAGTTGAGAAAAACCTGATGGATTCAGTTGAATTTGTCTTCAGAGACAAACAGAGAGACTTGTCTCCACTGCAGCTCTGCTGTCTTCAGACAAACTTTCACTTTCATTTCCAGGAAATGTGTCACTGAAGCTCTTTCAGTGTTGCTCCTCCTCTCAGTGCAGATCTGTGAGTGAGCTGTTATTGACTGATTGGGAAATATCTTGATATACCTTTGGAACAAGATAAGACAATTCCCTTTTTTTCCCTAAAATGTAAGTCTACAGCAGCCAAAGGATCATACAATAACAAACAGACAACATAAGAAAAGAGGTCAGTGTAAGATATTCAGGAACATACTGTATCTTTAGATCAATATTCTACAACGCTCCCTTTACAGTCCCTCTACAATCCCACAAACACTCCAATGTTCAGCTCACTGTTTACTCTGTAATTTCACTTTCTGCTGCTTTCCAAACTGTTTACCATCTTTTCTTTATGTGACAGATTTCTTACTGATCACATTACAGGAAAAAATACAGAAACACTGAGAGGGAAAACTTTTGTCACTGGGCCACAAGTAGGCTTCTCTGTGATTCTGAGGTTTCAAAAGTAGTAAAGTAAAATATTTCTTTCAATGAACTCTTAAGTGAAATTACAATTGTTCATTTTATAAAAATCTCCTCACTCAGAGAGAGTAGTAGGCCTTAATTACTTTATACTGCTGGAAAACCAACAGTGTGTCTAAGAAAACAGGATTAATAATGATCACTTTTATTTCCATGCATGATTTCTTTGTTAGTTTTACTGTTCATATTGTAGCATCTCATACTGGACACAGAGTCAGAGCTGAGTTGGGAAGTTTTTAATTTTTTTCTCCAACATAACAATGAAAGGAAAACACCAACACAGTCCACCACCAGCATATATTATACAGCCAAGAGGTTCCGGCAATTCACTGTGCATTTAAAAGTGTTGTATTAATCTGCAGTCAGACTCTAATATACAGCATACTGTCAATGTTCAGACTACAACAGCACCCTCCTCCCATACACTGCTCATAGGCTGACACCTGCTGGTGACTTTATGGAACTGCAGCTGACAGTTTGAGTGAAAATAAAGGCAGAAAATAGGAAGAAAGTAGGTACAGGACTCACAGTACAACAGCCAGACCTCTTATTCCTGTTGTTATCAGTTATCAACTTTAACTCCACACAGTAGCAGTACAATATCCTAGGTCTCAACAAGTGAACCCAGTAGTGGGAATATTATTTCAAACACATTTCACCGATCAGGAATGACATTGAGGCTTAACTCTGCCACACTAACGTTACATTGGCTCGCTGTTTCACTGCTAACTGATTATTGTCTAATATATAAGCTACCTTTTGGCTGTAGCACTTTTACAAACAATAAAGTTGGTCTTACCTTATAATGTTATTACAATGATAATGACACTGAACCTGGCTGTGGGGTGGGCAGGTCATGCGGCGAGCTGTCCAATCACAGCACAGCACCTAAATGAAACAGACCAATGGGAGCGGGTCAAGACAACCCCATTGGCCTGTTCCATTTGTACATGAGCCAATAGTAGCCTCTGAAATCGATAGGCGGGACCATTTATGTGAAACACAGGTATGGTGACTAACTCTCTCCCGTAGGTGAAGCGTTCCTCATTCCTTTATCTATTCTGTTGGTTATGTTGTATTTGTCCTCAGGCTTGATGATTTATAACTTTAACAACTGAGATCGACACCACTGTCACTGTTCGGTTGTTTATTAAAATTCTGAGCTCAGATCACAGTAATTCTCCCAAATCAACTCTTTTATGGAAACTAAACTTCCCTGAACAACAAATTTGGTCAGACTCTAATAAATTCCTCATTCCACATAAAATGAAAGAAGTTCACATGAAGATATCACATAGATACCATCCTTGTTTCCTGTTGAATGTAAAATGTGAATCTGCAAAGTAACCAGCAAATCCAGCTGTTAGACAGATGTAGTGGAGTAAAAAGTACAATATTTCCCTCTTTAATGTAGTCCAAAAAAACATCCAAAAACATAATAACACAGATAGTAAAAAGGTTTGAATGTGGTACCCAGACATTTAAGGAACATCCAAATGCTTCTTATTTATTAGCACATTGTCTGTTACTGATTGAACAGTCTTGGAGGCAGCTAATGCAGTTATTAGAATAAATGAGACTACATTAGATAATATCAATCAGTGCAGTAAAACTGGTGTGTTGTAGTAGTATACCACCATCATTCAGACTGGGACTAAAGTATGGATAGAGTTTCTCAGTGAGGGAGCAGCCAGTAAAGGAGTAGATCAGAGCCACCTCCTAAAAGATAGAGACGATGGAGACTTCTGGTTTATAATTTCTAAATTAGTTTTTATCTTAATCATGTGAATTTAAATTTTACAAACTGTAATGTAATCAATCATTATAATCACAATATTTCAACAGTGTAGAATGAACAGACACAAGAGAAACTTATTTTTTTTTGTTTATTTAAAAAGAAAAAGAGAGAAAAACAAAAGACTTTTGTGTCATTAATAAAAAGGCTCTTCAATAATTTATGCCAGTATGTAGTATAAAGTATTCTTATATAAACAATGATCAGACAATATAAAGGTTTGAATTTGTCACTCAGACATTTAAAGAATGTGTAAATGCTTCTTATTCCTGAGTTCATTGTTTTCTGATGATTTTACAGTTTTGAAGGCAGATAATGCAGTTATTAGAATAAATGAGGCTACAATATGATATCAATACATTTACATGATAAAAGGAAAATATATATATTCCGTACATCACCAATAAATATACATTTATTCCATTAAATGATGTGAATCTTTCTGTAGAAAATCAAATGGTTGTTCTACTCAGTGTGATTGACAGGAGAGATGATCAGAGGGGCAGAGTTTGTACCTCCATTATTATTATCTGGGACCAAAGTATGGGTAGAGTTTCTCAGTGAAGGAGCAGCCAGTAAAGGAGTAGATAAGAGCTGCAGCATCAACGTCATAAAAGGAGACCAGACCCTCCTCATAATCCACAAACACCCCCACCTTCTCAGGCTGAGACTGCAGAGAGAGACAGACTGCAGGGTCAACAAGAGCTTCATACTCATTTTTATTCCTTAACCATATCATCCAGTAACCATCCTGAGGACTCACTGTGATTACTCCCTTCCTGTTGATCGACTCTCTGGCCACTCCTAAATCCCATTCAGTCTTCCCTTTAACCTGAACCTCGTAATAAAATCTTCCTGAAGAGAAACTCTGCTTTGCTAAGACACAGGGACAACTATTAAATCTCTCTGGATTGTCTGGGAGATTCTTCCATACATCACCATGATTAACTTGTTTACCATCATCAGACAGGATGAGCTTGGGACTGTGCTGTATCAGGATCCAGTGTCACATCCACTGCATACTGCTGGACCCTCTTCAGCTCCACCCAGCGAGCACTTCTTCATCTGTTTACTGAGCGTCTCCTCCAGCTGATTCACAGCTCTTACCACAGTCCCCTCATGTGAAGGTGGACAGACGCTGACTTCTGTCCAGTCCTTGGTGGGTGGAGCAGCGTTCAGGGACAGGAAGCTTTGAAGGAGGTGGAGGTGGTCTTCAGACTGTGAGAGCTGGTCCACCTCAGAGCTTCTCTTCTTCAGCTCAGAGATTTCCTGTTCCAGCTCTTTGATGAAGTCTTCAGCCTGTTTCTCTGTCTTTCTCTGCTTCTCTTTGATCGTGTCGATGAGTTCAGCCTGGCTTCTCTCAACAGACTCCTTCAGAGCGGTGAAGACCTGAACACCATCTGCTATCTCTCTGTCTGCACCTTCCTTACTGAGCTCCACTGAGCGTTTGATCTCCTGAATCTTCAGTCGTCTCTTCTGGATCATCTGCTGAATTTCAGCCTCATTCTTCCCCAGCTCGGCCTTCTTTCCTTCATATTCTTCTTTCAGAGGAACAACATCATGTGTCTTGTGGTCTAAAACAGTGCAGAGCATGCAGACACACATCTGGTCGGTCTTACAGAACAGCTCCAGCAGTTTATCGTGCTTCGTACACATCCTGTCTTCCAGGTTCTCCACAGGGTCGATCAGCTGATGTCTTTTCAGGCCTGACGTTGTCAGATGAGGCTCCAGGTGAGTCTCACAGTAGGAGACCAGACACACCAGGCAGGACTTCAGGGCCTTCAGTTTGGTTCCAGTGCAGACGTCACAGGGAACTTCTCCTGGTTTGGAAACTTGTTGCTCTGAGCTGCTGCTGCTGGCTTTCTGTTGAGCTGACTGTCTGAACTGAGCAGCCATCTCAGAGATTAAAGTATTGACCTTCAGCTGAGGTCTTGTGTAGAAAACCTCTTTACAGTTGGGACACTGACACTGGACATTAATATTCCAGTGTTCAGTGATGCAGGTTTTACAGAAGTTGTGTCCACATGGTATGGTGACTGGATCAGTGAACACATCCAGACAGATGGAGCACAGAAACTGATCTTCAGTCAGCAGACAGCTGGCAGCAGACATATCTACACTGTGAGGATGAAAAGAAAAGAAAATTGTAATTACATTTCTTTTGATTATAATAAAATCAAACTATGATTAATGGAATAAAAGGAGAGTCATCCTGAGTTCTGTTGTCATATGCAACCCAGCCAGAGCAAAATATTAAATATGAGCTGGGTTTTTGATTAATTTGTGTTCACAGTCTGCATGTAAGCCATTCCACCAAATCTGTGCCAATTCATTCTTTATAGTTTTTCAGCAATCTAATAACACATATTTACACATGATTTTGCATTTTTCAGGAACAGGAGGAATATTTTTTTGCATCTTTTTAGTAAATTCATTGAGAGAAGTTACTTTTCCTTTCCTCCCATGACCTTCAGTAGACTAAACTGAGTTATTTTTTTTTTTTTTTATCATGTGACCTGTGAAATGTCCCAAATTTTTAAAGAGGGGTCAGGATAACAGGACTGAGTGAAAACCTTCATGGGGACACGACTAAAAGGTCCATTTTAACTAAAAGGATTATTTTGTCTAAATTGGAAATAGAGTCACAAAATAATACAAAAATGATTTCATCATTAATTCTAATAATTAAATTTCATGTTGAGGTGTAGAGTTAGAGAGTGGGGGAGAAAA